ACCCGCGAAAAGTTTAGAATAGAATAAGTGTGGAAGAGCCATGCTTCGTCACGAATGGGTCGGCTCGACCGGAGTGATACCACGGCCTAACAGAAAACCGACATGAAGCAACGCTTTCGTTGTGTTTCATGTGAGTGAGGTTACCGGAGGCCCAATTACCCTCCCTTTTCCCAATCTCCCCAATTCCTGAATCCCTAACTCCTAATCCCCAAAAGGCCGGTAACGCATTTGTAACGCTTTTGGTGTTCGAGGTGTCCATGGGCGACGCCGATTGCTTACCATCAGGTGATCCGTCCGCTCGTTTATTGGCTTATGCCATAAAAAAATATTTATTTGCTCAGAATGCAGGTATTTACAATAAGGTGATATTAAGACACTAATAAGGTATCCTTGTACTTACATATATTCTACCATTTTGGCATGCAAACATTGATGCAGGTTCATCATCAGACATATTATAACACAGTTACAATTTATCAGCAAAATAATCAGACACAGAGTAATAACATGTATTGTGTTTAACAAGAGTATTGTAAGTTTCGTTTTAAAAACTGTAATTGGTTTTTTTTATTGAATTAGGAATGTAGTTAGACTTCTAACTTACACTTTTCCTCTAAAAACACTTTAAGACCCTTCGAGTATGGATCGATCATAAATTATGATCGATCCATACTACATACATACGGCATATTATGCCGTATAGTCAGAGAGTAGAATGCATTTATCACCACCACTTCTCTTCCCGTGGGTGGTACAAGAACTGACAAAGGGACAACATACTTATTGAGATTGACTGATTGATTGACTGCATGGTTCGCGCTGTGGCTGGCAGCGGCTGCTGCGCATCATGTTCGGTTCCAGCGCAGAACAACTCTTTGTGTGATACACAGATTGTTTTTCCGATTCTGGGTGTCATGTGTATGTGAACTTGTATGTTTGTAAACGTACCCACGACACAGGAGAAAATTCTAGTGTAGGGCAACGTTGCTGTAGGAAAAAAAAGTTTTTGTGAAAGTTTGTTGTTTTTTTTTCTTCTTTTTCTGATATTTGGTCTGTTTTATTCTTTTTAATATCTTGTTGTGTGTGTTAATGTAATTGGTGTAAAGCCGTGTTAGCATAACAATAATAAATAAATAAACAGAGTCTGGAGTGCTCGAACAGAGAGTAACCCTAGAAAGATAGCTTTCCGACGATAAAATTATTTTTCCAATCGGTCCAGTGGTTTTAATGGTATTTCAATACAAACAAACAAATAATAAAATTTTTCATTAATTAAGAGAATCCCTTTGTTAAAATTTAATATAAATATTTAGTCATTATGAATAAAAGATGGATACTGAACAGAATGGTTTAGCTTAGACGCTTTCTAATCAGAAGACCTACTTTTATTAATATTTTGTGAAATCATGCCAGCAAGTTAACTATTATGATTATTATTACAATCAGGCAGGCTGACCTGATTGGTGGAGTTCGCAAATGTGATTAGGTACTGAGCTAGGGACCCTGGTTTTGATCCCCGAGCCGGGTGAAGTGATAATATCGACCTATCCGTAGAATAAAGTTACTTTTGCATAATTGTTACTTTAGAGGAGAGCGATTTGAAATTTGCCAAGGACGAAATCGGACATAATTTTTTTTTTATTTGTTCTAGTTGATTAATTATTTGTCTAAGCACGTAAAATACTATTTAGCATTGTTTTTCATAAGAATATGAGATTAAAAAACAGTTATTTGGCAATTTTGAGTGTTTATGTTCATATGTGACGATTTAATATGGAAATGCCTGCGTCTTATGCACACATATAACCTTGTTTTTGGTAAAACTGATAGTATCTTGTGTACGTGTAACTTTGTTTTATGTACATACGTATTGTGTTCTAAGTTATATGTGATAACATGTGGAAAATATGCTAATAAAAACAAAATTTTAAATAAACATTTATTTTTTAGAATGTAGCCATATAACTATACTATAGTTACATAATTATAGTTTCTTATTATAATTAGAAAAATACCCGTTTTATTTAGGAACTAGATAAAAAAAA